AGAATTTGTACGATCCCTAATATCGGTATCAGCCCCTAAAAATCCATATCGGTCGTCCTTGTTTCATCAGAGAGTTCCTCCAGAGAACTAAATTAATTTAAATTAAATAAGCCCTAAATGTCTGTAAAAACAAATAGTCCGTTCCACGATGAAAAAATATAAAAGTATTTCAAGTCTGTGACAGAAACGTTGTCCTCAGACGTGAGGACAGAAGTTCTCAGCAGTAAAGTATAAAAATACATCTTCAGATTCCAGAGACACGTCCTCTGTCTTTGAGTCGTCTCGGTCTCATCTCCCAGCAACCAGCCGCTGAAAGATGGAGTCGTCGCTCTGGCAGAGAGCGGTCGGCGTGTCGAACTCTACCACCTTCCCAGCATGCATCACCAGCACCCGGTCGCAGTCCATGATAGTGTTGATCCTGAGGACACGAGCACAGAGAGACGACTGAGCTACTTCCAAACGTAAACATGACGTTTCAATCACACGTTTATTCCCTGTGACCTTTGACCTTTGAGATCCAACCCGTTCTGACAACTGGTCAGAATGTGAAGAGGTTGAAGAGGTAAAATGTTTTGTGCCACTTTGACGACAAGTTGATTCATAATCCGTGAGTCTACACAAACCTCCGGACAAAGACTGTCGAACAAAAACAACTTAACAAATATGACATTTTGAATATTGAGAATCCACCCGGGTTTGACTTTAATATAACGAGATCATGTGAATATATATCAGGATCATAAACTGACTTTGTATAGACATGTGAATTAGGAAACCTTTCACCTGTGGGCGATGGTGAGGACCGTTTTGTCCTGGAACTTGTCTCGGATGGTTTGCTGCAGCAGTTTGTCCGTCCTCTGATCCACGCTGGCTGTGGCTTCATCAATACACAGCACCTTCAAAAAACGGAGAGTACGTTACGAGTTGTGACCTCAAGTTGCAGCAGCGAAGGAATTAAAAGGGTCAAAGCTGCTTTCCTCTAATGAACTGCTCTAAAAAAAGACGTGTGGATATTCAGAATATTCTTTAAAAAAATGTAGATGATTCCTAAGATGTCGTTATCAAACCCAAAGAAACGTGACTGAGGCTTTTTACAACTTTATCACAAATAACTACAAATACAAAGAAAACTAATATATTTGTGTTAGTTTCAGTGTTTGGAGTCAGAAACTCTTCAGGTGAAGAAGAGACGATGGACGAACAGCAGAGCTCTCACCTTGGCCTGAGTCAGCAGAGCTCTGCACAGACACAGAAGCTGCCGCTGTCCCACAGAAAAGCTTTTTCCTCTTTCTCCGACCTCAGCGTCCAGACCGCCTGAGACACACACACGTTATATAAATCAGTCTTCTTCTCATAGACTTCTATAGAAACCACCAGTGGAGTCGCCCCCTGTAGGTGTTTCCAGAGAACACAGGTTTTAGGCCCGTCCACACTGGCTTCACTTTCTGGACCGTGAGTCCGTTTCTATAAACGGAGTCTAAGTCCCACAGCATCTTTCTTTCTGTGAACCTCCTGTTCTCCGTCCACCAACAAATAAAACCTGAGTCACGAGGACGAGGAGAAGACAAAGATCATAAATTCAGTCTGCGACGGAATCTTGTGTAAATATGACAGTGACCAGCTGAGCGGTGACGGGAGGAGTTCTTTGAGTCAGGTGCTTTCATTTTAAAGAGACACAGTTCTCCTGCTCATCCCTAATTCACTGGTCTCACCCCTCTCCCCCACCGTCTCACCCATCCGGTCCAGCACAGAGCTGAGGTGACACTGGTCCAGGACGTCCAGCAGCTGCTGGTCTGAGTGTCGCCCACACGGGTCCAGATTCTCCCTGATGGTCCCGCTGAACAGGAAGGGGTCCTGAGGAATAATGGCCAACCTGGACCTGCAGAGGGCGCCAACAGCACACAAACGTCATAACTCTTGTTCAAAACTAACTTACAGACAATGTATGAGAAACCGTGAGGACCTGGATGAGGTCTCCAGACACTCAGTCCTACCTGAGCTGACCCAGGCCCACCGTGCTGATATCCAGCCCGTCCAGGAGAATCTGACCCCGGTTGAGCTCCACCATACGGAATAGGGCCAGGAACAGCGTGGACTTGCCGGAGCCTGTGCGTCCCACGACGCCGACCTTCTCCCCAGGTCGCACCACCAGGCTCACCTCGTCCAGGGCGTTAGGGAGGCCGTCCCTGTACGCCAAAACCGCACCGCGATACTCCAGCCAGCCCTGCTCGGGCCACGCAGGGGGAAGCTGAAACAGACATTTCTACTTTTACAGACAACACATTTGAAAATGGAAGAAAAATGAACCTTCAAATGACTAAATACTGTTGAAGAAACTACATTAAGTGGCTCGTGTTGTCCGTCCTCGTCTGTAACTGATGTTGTAATATCAGGATTCTGGTCTGACCTGTGCGCTCTGCTGCTGTGGCTCGGTGGGGAGGCCGGTGGAGTATTCCTCTGTTCGCTCCACGCTCACCAGCTGCATCTCAGTCTGAGTGAAGCTGAATATGAGGCCGGACAGCAGGGACGTGATGGACAGAGCGTAGGACAGGGACAGCCCCACCAGACCTGACGGGGACGACACAAGCAGCGAAAGGGAATTAGACGACTCACGTGTTGGTGCACGGTCACCGAACTGAGCTGTCGTCTCACCTGGATCAACAGAGTGAAACTGATGCTGGACGACGGCGATCACCCCGAGGCCCGTCACCACAGCTACTCCAATCAGCTGCAGGCGGATGTCCAGCCACTGCATGGCGGCGTTGCTGAGGAAGAGGCAGCGTTGGTTCTGCTCCAGACGTTTAGCACTTTCCTCCTCGAACCTGGAGGAACAAAGACGTCCCGGAAGTTTAGTGTCGCTCCGATTCAATGAACTGGCAGTTAGTCATTGGGTAATTAGAGAATTGTTTGTTCAAAGTTATTTAGTCGTTTGTCAGCTGCTCTAGAAAACTGTGCAGACGTTCAGATGTCGGGGGTCTAAAAAAGGTTCTGTTGTGTTTCACCTGGAGGAGCTCCCGCTGGCCCGGATGGTCCCCAGCCCAGTCAGCGTCTCAGAGAAGTGCGAGTAGACGGGGGACAGGGTGAGGCTGTACAGGCGCTTCAGCTCCCGGGAGGTGTGTCGGTAGAAGTGCTGCGTGCGGTGGTAAAGCAGAGCCAGGGGCAGCGTCGCCACGAGCACCCAGGGGAGGCCGTAGCTTATCACCACCAACATCCCCAGCAGGCCGAAGATGTTGGCGAGGAGGATGTTCAGGATGAAGGGCAGGCTGTCGTCCACACTGTACAGGTCTGATGAAAAACGGTTGAGCACGCGTCCCAGAGGGGTGGTGTCGAAGAAAGTCACCGTGGCCTGGAGGGGGACACGAACAGGAAGTGGTGATCTGAGTTTGGTTATGTTCAACTTTCAAACGAATTGAAGGTGAAACAAACATGTGAAGTATAGATTCATCAAGAAGCTGCTATTCTGACATCAACACTGAATCACATGACGACTGGTGATGAACCTGGAGAAGACCAGCTCTCCTGCGGATCGATGGAGCACTGTGTCTTCTTTCAGCTCGTTAAGTCTCATCGCTCGTCAACAAACTGATTCAGAGTCAGAGAAGTTGGTCGATTTGTCGGCTGAGACTGTGAATGACGTCATCAGCAAAAGGTGGCAGCGTCTGTATCTGAGATATTTTGTCTTCACAACAAACCCTGACATATTATAGTCTCACTATGTTGTTAATCAGATTAATTAATTATTTATTTACACATTCAACAGGAACCAAGACACTGAAAACAGCTGGATGACGGGAGCAGTGGGACCGAACCAGACAATAATGAGGTAAGGAGATGAAAACCAGTCACCAGCTCGATTCTCTAAACCTCAGCTGGTGCTGCCAAACAGGACAAACACTCAATCTGCTCGGCTCATACTGGCGCCCCCTGGTATCCCCTGGTACCCTGACAGTCGCTGTGGGACTGCGATGACGCACCTTCAGGACTCGATCCAGGAGCCTGTTGTGGACGGCTGTGGCGGCACAGATGCCTCCGTAGGCAAAGAGGACGGATCGGAGGGCAGTGAAGACGGTGTTGGCCGCGGCGATGGAGGCGTACACGGTCAGGTAAAACCTGACGTCAGAGGTCAGGTTGCTGGACGAGAACGTTTGCACAGAGGACAGCGGAGACCTGGAGGGACAGACAGAATATTTTAAATAGAATTTCAGAGTAAAGTAAAGCTGACAATCTCAGTGCAGTAACAACAGACTTTCACACGTTGTTCTAAAAATACATTGAAGGCAAAATAATCATATAAAGATAATATACACTCACAATAAAACTGTAATATTTCCATAGCTGAATTACAAACTGCTTTGAAAATGAAAAGACAATGACATTTCAGTGAGTGAAAGAGACGACACTGAATCCTTTTATAAAATACAACATCAGTTTAAACTTGTTTGTTCTGACAACACATAAAATAACTCTTGTCTAAAGTAATAAACGTATAAAGAAACATTAAATGTAATATAACATACATAAGTCGTCCAGGTGAGAAGAGCAGCAGCTGAGAGGAGATGAAGGAATCTGGAATTGAACCGTTCGGCCTCGTGGAACCGTTGTTTCTCAGCTCGGAGATCCAGTGAGAGAGCCACCAATCAGAAACGTTCTTAGAGGCTGAACCACAAAGAAAACACAACAGTGGTTTGTTGTTAAAAAAACAACATCGACACAAAACCCAGTCTGGTTCCAATCTGTTCAGATCCAGGAAAATCTTTTGCTCGGCAGCGTTTCCCACAGAATGAATTCAATCTACAGCGGCAGCGGGGGTCAGGGTTCGGACTAGACCCGGACTGATCATTGCATGAGCACAACTGCACCTGAAACTCCGAGGTCTGACTCTCTGCGTGGACAGTAAACACTTTATGGATAGAGCTGCAGCAACAGAACAAAACACCAAGTTAGAGATCTCTTACAAAACGTAAGAGATCTCTAACTTGGTTCATCATGAAACTGTGGCAGGACAGAATAGAAAAGGCCGACCCACCACAGTCTAGATGATTCATGAGAAATACTCCGACATGGCGAGATGAGCCCTGGTGAAGGTGTGTGCTCTCAGAACGTCCTTCTAGTTTGGGCTTAGTTTGGTTTTGATCTTTGGATGTACCTGTGTTTGTTGTCTCTAACGTCCTTTGAGACAAACCTGCGATGGACTCTGATTAACTGACGTCACAGAAAAATTAGAATCACAGCATTTAAGTCTGGACGAATTCAGATGAAGCCTCAGCGAAAACTGAAAACACGAGCGTTCACTCCCGACCTTGCATGAGGAGCAGAGACATCAGGATGGAGGAGGCCAGCACTCCGCCCACAGCCGACCAGTAGGTCTGGTAAACTCTCCACGCTAGTCCGCCCGTCTGCTTCTGCTCCGCCCCCGACTGGTCGGGATCATCATCCACCAACAGATCAGGCGGCGATCCCGGCTCTTCCTCAGCATCTGTCAAAACCAGGAAGAAAGTGTGTCAGACTTCAGAACCGCAGCAACCGATCGGATAAACAGACGAACGTAAGGGCTGTAAAAAATTATTTTAAATGATTCATCATCTGAAATATCCACAACAAGGGGGAATGGTTATTTTCATTGAAGATTCCAAATGAAAACCAAGTCGTCAAAGTGAGAACAGCATCATGCTCGAGAAAAAGAAAACGTGCTTTGTTACGTTTCTTCTTTTTAATAACTTCACCTTTCTCTCTCACATTCTGGTCGTTCTTCCGTTTCTTCGGCACAGCCTCGACCAGAGGGAGGATTTCTGCTGGAGAACCTGTTTAACAACAGCAAAGGGACGATTCAGTCTCCACACACGAATAAAGAAAATCTAAACAACACAACTTTTTTTTTTAATGAAATACTATTTGTCAGTCACACTAGGAGACAAAGCTACGACTTGCGAAATAGAAACTGAGGCTGGAGTCTTGTTTGTGATGCACTGGATTATAATGTTCATCCCCAAGAATAAGCACAATAATCATTTGTTTGTGTTTAAGGCCTTTAAATCACAGACAATACATCTCATCCAAGTCCTTGACTCTGCAGTGAATTAACCAAGAAGTGGAACCAGTGATAAAACATAACAATGTCCAGATTTTTTGTGGTAAACTCTAAAAGTTTGTATTAAAACAAAAGCTTGTGAGCTGATTATGACTAACACCCGTCTGAGTTTTCAGTTCCTACCTGTTCTGATTATTGTTCCATTCTCCATGAGGACCACCGTGTCAGCTTTGTCCACAAACTCTATACGGTGTGTGCAAAGGATTCTGGTCTTTCCCCTGAGGAGCTCCATGATGCATTTCTGCATGAGGTGTTCAGCCACGTCCGTGTCAACAGCCGCCAGCGGATCATCCAGGAGGTAGACGTCTTTGTCCTGAGGTGAAAATAAACCCCATGAAGAATTATGTTACAGTACTGGACTTTCTGTAATCTGACTAGTTAGACCTGTGACCTCTCCAGCAAGAGAAGGATCCTTTAACTAATGTTCTCATTATTTCTTAAAAACTGGAATCAGCATCTGTTCTGTTGCCAAAACAAATAACTTCTATGAATAAATTACTTTCTACACATTTACAAAATATGTTCTGACGAAGATTTTTTTTTTTTTTGCTCCTCGCAGACGAACACTTTCTCTGGAAGACACTTCTTCTGTGTCTCTCCGAGCTTGAAGCAGATGGACGGTTCGTGTGGAGGACTGACCATGTACACGGCTCTGGCGAGCGCCAGCCGAGCCTTCTGTCCTCCGCTCAGAGTCACGCCGTTCTCCCCCACTTCTGTCTTGTCACCATTTGGCAAAACCTGCAGAAACATTACAGAACGAATGTTTGAAAAGAAAACGTTAAACAGTCAGATAAGTAGCACAAGAAAAGTTCAGTGTCCAAAATGAAATGAATTGATCCTTTGGGGATAAAGATTAAGAAAAATCCTCTGATCTGATGACGGCGTGAGGACTTGATTATCTTCTGGGGACCACGAATATTCAGATTTTACAGAAAATAATTCGTTAAAGATAAAAGAGAATAAAAAATAAGAAAGTAGTGATGTCGACAAATACTGTAACTAAATACGCACAACAGGAAATAAAACAAATAAGAAATGTAAGTTATCGTACGTTGAGGTCATCTGCGAGAGCACAGGCCTCGAGCACGGCCTGGTAGAAGGCGGGATCGTAGTCTTTGCCAAACAGGATGTTGTCTCGTACTGATGCATGCTGGAGCCACGGTTCCTGAGAGGCCAGCCCGAAGCCTGCCTCTCTGTCTGCAACGTAAACCACACCACTCATCCTGCAGAGAGAGGAGGAACTGTGACGCACTGCAGAAGTGAACAATAAGTAAGAAGCCTTCTGCTCGTAAAAGACACGCCCACCTGCACCCATTGGACAATACTAGCCGTCAATCACACTGTGTATCCTTCCTGGTCTGTTTGACTCTAAATGATCAGAATTGATAAACGAACATCAGCTGTTTGAAGAAGACTGAGACATAAACTCCTGAGGACAAAGTTTACTGACGTTATAAAGTGAGAAGAGACGTTTTCTATAGAAACTATCGGTGGAGTCGCCCCCTGCTGGTCATAACAGAGAGTTTCAAGCACTTCTGTATTGGCGTCCCTTCACGGACCCGGGGTCTACGTCCATTTTAATTGACTGTCTGTGTAGCTGAGCAACATTCATACTGAGTGGAATCTGAATATTTTGAGGGACGTCTTGAGGAGTTGTACCTGTTGAGTTCCCCAGTGAGCGCAGCCAATAAGGAACTCTTCCCACAGCCGACTTTACCAACCACAACAACCAGAGAGCCCTGAGCCAGACGGGAAAAGAATTAAACTCTTCATGGAAATAAAAACATTCAATTTTCAATCTAACATTGTATTTTTTTTTCAATCTAAAATAAATCAAAGCTCTAGTTTCCCCTTTAAAGGTTTTATCAGTGTGAGTGGTTTAGCTGCTGTCTTGTACCTTAGTGACGTGTAGATCGAGGCTGTGCAGCATCAAACTCCCTTTCGCAGGTTCACTCCCTCCCTCTCTGCTCTGGTCTGGACCACCAGGCCCCTGCCAGGAAAATGTCCCCTGGCTCAACAGAACCGACGTCTGGTCGTCCTCAGGAGAGACTGTGGACACATGTTTAAAACAAAGGAGACCAACATTTAACATTTCACTGGGAGGGAGGTTCATTAATCTTTCACAGAACGACCAAATGAGACCAAATAAAACAGCAGGACCTGATGTCGGTCCTTCAACACAAGCCTACCCAGAGCATAGTACGCCTGCAGATCCTGGTTGGTCAGTTTGAAGAAGCGCTGGATTCGTTCCAGAGAAACTTTGGACTCCAGGATGCTGCTGAGGACCCAGGGGAAGGAGTTGAGTGGGATGATCAACATTCCCACCAGAGCCAGCGTGGTGAAAACCTACAGGGGCGGAAAAAATTCACTTGGTTGGATGAGATTTTTTCACAAAACTAGTTTTCTATGGTAACATAAAAATGTATGTCTTTTTTTTTTTTTTTTCCACACAGTTCACATCAACACTCTCTACCTTGGCTGCGGTCAGCTGGTGTCCCAGCATCACGTACGTCACAAAGGTGAGGATGGAGATGACCACCGGCAGCGCCGCCCACGTGTACACGCACATGGCGTCGAGGTATTTGATGGCCTTGAGGTGGGACAGCTCTTGTTTGCGACAGTCGGCGACCTTCTGAATGAAGTGAGGCTCCCAGGTGTAGAACTTGATAACACGAATGCCGAAGAGGATTTCTGTCATGAGCTGGAAAAGAGGGAAGAGACTCAGAAGAAGACAAAATTATGATTTAATCCTATTTTTATCATTGTCAAAGAACAAGAGGTCTCACTTTCACGCGGCTGTCCTTGAACCTGAGCATGTGTTTGTTGTTGCTGATGATTCGTGAAGCGATGAACTTATTGAGCGGCAACAGCAGCAGCGCCACGCCAAGCCCTCCGAGGAAAGCCACCCCCACCTGCAGATACAGCAGGTAGAGGGCGATGCTGAAACTGAAGGGCAGACTCCACAGCTCATGGAAACTGTTGAAGAAGTTGACCACACGGTCGGTGTCCGTGCTCATCAAGTTCACCACCTCTCCCATAGTCAACCTGGCCAAGCTGCTGCCACTGACCCGCAGGGCTTTGCCGTAGATGGCCGACACCAGAGCGGCGCGTGCCGACAGCGCCACCTTGGATACCTCAAAGGAGAAGATGTTTCGGAGGATGGACGAAAGCAGCGTGGTGGCAAAAAGCCCGAGAGCGCACAAGGCTCCTCTGCTCACCGGGGCATTGTCTTCCTCCATAAAGTTCACCAGACTGCTGAGGAGCAGGGGACCTGTGAAGCCCAGCATGTTGACCACCACCTTCAGCAAACCCAGCATGTAATACCTCGACCCGAACGCCTTGTGCAGGACCCTCAGCAGGCCAACGTCCCCCTCCAGCTCCAGTGGTCCCTCCAGGTAGTGTGAACTCCAGGTGCCGTTCAGGAGGTTCCCGCTCACCGGCCTGGGCCACTGATCCTGGTCGTTACTGGCGACCGGCCCTCGTCTGCAGGATTCCCAGCACTGATGGAAGTATCGACAAACCACACTAGTCCGAAGTTTCCGAGGAAGATGATAAACATCGGCCGGTCGGTCCAGCTCTCCTCGCCGCCCTCGTCTGAGGAGCGGAGTCAACCACAGGTAGAAGAGTCGAGAGGTGCAGCCGCTCCCGTCCTCCGCCACCATCTCACCTGTGTCCATCTGGGTGCTGTCTGAGATGAGCGGGGATCCGTCCACAGCGTTAATATACAAGGTGTACCCGGCATCGCTGATGCAGGGAAACGCAAACGCCAGGAGGTAAACCAGAAGAGGGAGTGTCCGGGCCACGGCGAGGACAAATCGTGTCAGTTTAAGAGGTTCTGTGATGTTTAAATATCCGTCACTTTCACAGTAAATGATCAGGGTGATGACAAGGTTGGGGATTGAAAGCAGAACGAGCAGAAGCAGCAGCAGGGGTCCTCTGGTTCTCCTGAAAACTGTTTTCTGGAGCACTGTAATGGCGCTGAAGTGGAGCAGCCAGGCCAGGATGGCACAGCTGTCAGTCAGAAGGTCCAGGTACATGTCCCCCTGCTGCAGGACGCTCGCCAGGACGACATCTGCAGTGAAGAGCAGCGCAGCCAACAGAGCTGACACCAGCCTGAGCGTCCAGCCACAGGGAGGAGACGTCTGCAGGAGGCTGCATCTGAGGAGCAGAAATGAGACTTTATCTTAAATCTTCAGCTACTTTAAGATTTCGTTTAGTGGGTGTCTGGGCTCAGCTTTAGAGACCGGGTCAGGAGGGAGCTCAGAGTAGAACCCACCTGTAAGAATATGAATAAATCAGTGTTTTAATCGTAGATGTGACCAACCTGACCATGCTGAGGTAGCAGGCGCTGAAAATTGCCATGACAGCGTGAGGCAGCGCTCCGAGGACGAGCTGGTTGAAGCAGGAGCTGACGTGTCCATTCTGCCACAGAGGGAACGGATTCTCCTCGTCCGTGTGACAGAGGCCTGCGAGCAGCTCCGCTGGTCCGAAGTCACTCATCCCTCCTCCTACTTCACCTCCGTCATTCTAGGAAACATCTGAAGAGCGACACAACGACGTGAATTATTAACTGTATGAGATGAGAGTCGTGTTCTACACTTGGTGTTAACATCTGTCCTGAGAGATCCAATCACTTTCTGTTCTCATCATAACGTAGCTCGTTTTAGTTTGGTCAGTTTTCACAGAACATTAATGTGTGATTTTTATTTTCATCTGCGTTGGTTTGTTAGTTATTTAGCAGGATTACACAAAAACTACTCAACGGACTTCCAGGAAATTTTGCTGGCGAGTGGAGCGTGACCCAAATGTGTGCAGGTTCTACGTTAAAGCTTTTTGAAGTTGTTGAAGTCTGCTCCTCACTTTTTTTGTGTGTCCCCCCCGGAAACATTTCCATTGTCGTGTTCACAATTTGCTGCACGTTTCTGTGTTTGCATGTGTTGTGACGTCTTGCTTGTGTTTTCTTCGTGTGCAGTGAGTTGAGCTCTCTGCCTCCGAGAGATCCAAACAAAAATCATGATAAACGAACACTGACATGCTGGAAAACCTTTCTAACTTGATATTTATGGACCAGTTCGAAAGTTGATCATGTAAAAACGTACAAACACATGTTTATAGAACACAAGTCTGAAGCGAGGTCATCGATTTAAAGGTTCCACGTCCTCTAACACTGAATGAAACAGATTTCACAGGAACAACCAGTTTGTCTGGTTCCTTCTCTCAGTGACGGAAGTTCAGTTCGTGAAGCTACGACAAGTGAAAACACCAGAAACTGACCAACAACCCGCCGCTTCCATCTTAAATCCTCTGAGCTGAGAGCAGCAGAGAGAAACTGGGGCCAACGCATGTAAACAAACCAGGCTAGCTAACTAGCTTAGCCAACACAAACCTTTGTGCTGCTGCTTGTTGAAGCGACGTCGCGATAAAAACACGAAAACAACACGAGAGCGCGACGAGTCACACACGTGTTGACGTTAAACTCGACCACATGACGTCACTGAGCCGAACATCTTTCAAACATCACCGGCTTCCAGCTAGCTCACGTCCTGTCCCCTTCTGATGACGCGGGCGAAAAAACATTTCAAAATAAGAGTTCCATGAAAAAGGTGGAGTATTTTCACAATTCATGAATTTATTTATTTATAACGTGTTTTATTGTTTTTCTCCTTTAATATCTGATCATCAACTATTTTACATTTAAACGTCACGATTAGGTATTATCTGCATTTTGAGGACAAAGACGAGAGAAAGTGTTTTAATTCTGAGCTGAGGAATAAAACTTTCTCACCGACAAGAACAACATCAAGTCATTTTTCACAGAATGAACA